CTATGACTGTGTTGACACAGAACTAAAGTTCTTCAAATAAAGTAAGCAAGCACTTCAATTCTTTAGATACTGGGTTTCTACTACCAGGTATCAGTGAATGTGAAATGCTGGATCCAATTCCGATCCTCCTCATTCTCTTTCACACTAAGCTAAGGGTGTTCAGAATCAGGTCCAAAGCCACCTTTCTACCTCAGTGCATCTGCACAGATTGTCTCCTGAGTCCCTTTTCCCTATGCAGGCAGTTTTTATTTTTCTCAATTTCAATCTTGCTTGGAATGGATTTTAAATGAATTTTATCTCATTTCAGCTACGGTGGCTATTGCTAGCCTTTTCACTGGAAGACTGCAAAGTTCTTCAGGCCTTGAAAGAAAGTCTTTACACCTGTGAATTTGCAGGAAAAACATTTCTAGAGGAAAAAAAAAATGTTACTTGCTAGCTGTATCCGGTTAACAAATTGCTTTTCTTTGTCCAATCTTGTGGTGTTCCTGTGTGTGTATGTATATAGTGAAAGGAGAAAGTCACTGACTGGTCCAATTACTGTGTGCATGCTGGCTAATTTAGTACAGAATGTTTAAATATGTATGTTGGGCAACCAATTAAAGCAAAGATTAACTTCATCAGGCTAACTGCCATATCGTCATTGAAAGTAATCTGGTTTGCCTTTGTTGCTCAGGACTAGCTTGCAGCAAAGCTGACTCGCATTTTCTTTTTCTTGCTAATTCATACAAAGAATGGTAGAGTTGAAATCCCAGTTTTGAGGGGACAGGAAGGTAAGTCCTGGTTCTTGACCTTGTACTGGCTTCAGATGGGTATATCTGGTTACAGTCACTCTGCTTCTGACACTATGCCTGTACAAATGATCAGAATTAGGTCCCCCAGGTTAAGTTTTGCCTTCACCTGCACCCAACTTAGGGAAGCTTGTGTTTGTAATGTACCTGGCTGCCTCTCTAGTGCTGAGCACTGAAATGTAGTGCCAGCCTGGATGGTTAAGACATCTGTATATAACTTACTGGCTCTTAAGATGCAATTAATAAGATGTTGTATTTATATAGAAGCTACAAATTGGGATTTATTTTTTTTTTTTCTGGGAATAGATGCTGGACATTGATCAGTAATACTTGACTATTCTCCATCTTTCTGCCTTTGTACAGTTCCTCGTAATCTCTGTGGTGAGCATACACGGCTGGTGAATCCATTAAGTACCAGTGAGTTACTGGTGGTTGTGGTGGTCCAGCTGGTTAGGCTTAGAAATGGCTGTCTTACGCTTCCTTACAATAAGTGTGGTTCTGCAGCATGCTTCCTTTCCTTGACAGTCCTGCAGACAGAACTGCTTTTCATGTGTTTCCTTGTAGAAATGAGATAGGGCAAACAGTTTTAAGAATTAAACCAGTGAACGCTGTTTCCTGTCATGCAAAGATGGATGGGTTTTTTTTTAACAGGCGGTTCAAACAAGAATTCCACGTCTTTGACTTCCACTTAAGTTAGCACATAGCATTAAAATCCTTCACCGTTCAGGGAAGGCGATTGCAAAGAACCATGGATTTCTGTAAAGAGGAAATAAAAGCTCCTTGGAAGGCAGCAACACCTCAACTTGATACTGTGTAAGAGTTGTGCATTAGTGAAACAGTCATTGCCATAGTGGTACATTTAGTTCTCAGAAGTTTTTGTCATGAAATTGTTCCAACATTCAGACTCATGGCTTTGGTGCTGCCTTACATGACAACTGGCAATTGGACAAGAAAACACTGAGCCTTCTCACTTACGGAAAACAAGCGGGAAGATACTTTCTCTTATGGCCTGCCTAATAATCTTTCCACTCACAGTTCACTCCTCCCACACTCTCTGTTGCAGGAGCATGACCTGTGCCTCGTTATTATGAAAATTGAGACAAGGGAAGGAGAAAATAGGCAAGGTAACCCTAAAATTAAGCTTCTGTCTAGCTAGCCAGAATAGGGTCTGTAAGGGCCATGCTTCATTTCTCAGGGTGTTGTGCTACATGCACAGTTTCCACAGCTGAAATAAATGGATTTCCCATGAAATCCACTTTTGGAATGAAAGGCTGCTTCAAATGAAAATACTCCTAATCAGCGTACATTTAACACATACCATGTTGAACTTAAAAGCTGCTTCTTTAAACTGTTGCTTGCTGAGCACTTTGCATCCTGATAGGAGTTGCTGGATATTTGTGGACAGGGAGAACAGAGATAAAATGACTGTCCCAGCCAGAGGGCTCAAATCAGGATATACCACTTCGCACAGCTCTTCTGCACAACTCGGATCTCCAGCCTGTGACGGTTGGGAGGGAGGCAAGATGAAAGAGGGTGTTCCTGCTAAAACCATAGTGTATCTTATTTGCCTGTTTCTTAAGAAAGAAGAAACCAACATTTGCAATTATCTTGTGGGAATTTATGTCCTTATTTGGAACTGCTTATGCCAGAACTAATAAATTGGTTTGAGCACAGTCATCCAGGTACTAATTTTCTAGTAGTATGTTGCTTTTGCTCCAGCAACCACTAGTCCTACAAGTCTGAGAAACCAGAGCACCCCCATGGCCTTAAAGCTACCAGTGATCGTGAGCGCAGCGGTGGCTCAGTGGAAGGACAGAGTGGGACTACTGGGAGTGACGGCTACTGTGATTCTCTGTATCTCCAGGTTACAGCAACTTAGAAGCTTCAATGGATCTTGAGCAACAATCCAGTATATAACGGAATTACCATTTCACCAATGCTTCCAAATGTGCACAGGCTTTCTAATTTAATCCCTGAAAGATGATGTTTGCATCTAATCATAATAAAAACAGGAGTAAAACTTTTTCTCCTTTAGTTATCTTCTGGCAGGTCAGCTAGCATTAAGGAGTTTTAAAACCCTTATGTGAAGGTACTCATTACAGAGCAGTACACAAGTTCCAGAACAAATGAGAACCAACAATAAGTCACCTTTAATAGCACTATAACAAAATATTTGTCAAAGCAGTAATAAATGGTTCTGGCTGTTTGAGCAGCAGCGTATGTACTGGCCCCTGCTTATTACTATATTCATGCATATTTATCAAGTAACTATAATAATGACAGTGACAGTAAGTATTGGTCAAAGCATCACTGATTATTTTTTTTCTTTTCACATGATGTACAGCAAGGTATCATAATAGGCTAGGAAAAGAGTAAAGTTGCTTTCTTAGAGGCCTGCAGGTAAAGAGCTGCTTACCCTTACACCATCTCCATGCATGTAGGAGTTAGAGTACAACTGAGCTGTTGAAACAACTAACAGAAAAGCAGAGATATGTGAAGATGCAGTTACCTGTCTTTTCCCAGTGGTTTTGTTCAGAGACATGGCCATGGGGAAGTATCTTTACCTGTGATCTATAATGTTACTACAGCTGTAGCTGAGGGGAATTTATGGCAACTCTATAAATTAATGCAATAACTGTAAATAGCCTGGCAGTGCCCTTTTGCAGGCTGGTGAATCCTAATTGTTTAGATAGGAAAAGACCTTTAAGATCATCAAGTCTGTTAACCATGTCCCTAAGCGCCACATCTACACCTCTTTTAAATACAGCCCCTACCCTGGGCTGCCTGTTCTGATGCTTGACAACCCTTTCAGTAAGAAATTTTTCCTAATATCCAGTCTAAACCTCTCCTGGTGTAGCTTGAGGCTGTTACCTCTTGTCCTATTGCTTGTACTTGGAAGAAGAGACCAACCCCATCTCACTACAACCTCCTGTCAGGTACTTGTAGAGAGTGATAAGGTTCCCCCCTGAGCCTTCTGTTCTCCAGACTAAACAACCCCAGCTCCCTCAGCCATTCTGCATAAGACTTGTGCTCCAGACACTTCACCAGCTTTGTTGTCCTTCTCTGGACCCACTCCAGCACCTCAGTGTGTTTCTTGTAGTGAGGGGCCCAAACCTGAACATGTTATTCAAGGTGCAGCCTTACCAGGATGAAGTAAACTTCCAGCCACTCTTCCCCAAACCTGCATGGGGTTACTGTAACCCAAGCGCAGCAACTCGCTGTAAGAAGGGGAATCAAAGAATGGTTGAGTTGCCCAAAGAAGTTGTGAGTGCTCCATCCCTGACAGTGTTCAAGGCCAGGCTGGACAGAGCCTTGAGCAACATGGTTTAGTGCGAGGTGTCCCTGCCCATGGCAGGGGAGTTGTAACTAGATAATCTTAAAGTCCTTTCCAACCCAAACCATTCTGTGATTCTAAGGTCATCTGGCCCAACCCTCCTGCTCAAACAGGGACACCTAAAGCAGGCTGCCCAGGACTGTGTCCAGATGGCTTTTGAGTATCTCTGGGGTTGGAGACTCCAGAGCCTCCCAGGACAACCAGTGCCAGTGCTCAGTCACCTCCACAGTCACAGAGTGTTTCCTGGTGTTCAGACAGAGCCCCTGTGTCATTTTTGTGCCTGTTGCCTCTGGTCCTGCCACTGGGCACCCCTGAGAAGATCTGTCAGGTATTTATGCACATTGATGAGATGCTCCTGAGCCTTCTCTTCTCCAAGTTAAACAGTCCCAGCTCTCTCAGCCTTTCCTCATAGAAGAGATGCTCCAATCCCTGCATCACCTTAGTGGTCGTTTGTAGGACTCTCTCCAGCATGTCCATATCTCTTACACTCAGGAGCCTAGAACTGGACACAGAACTCCACGTATGGTCTCACCAGTGCTGAGCGAAGGGGTAAGGATCACCTCCCTTAACCTTCTGGCAACACTTCTCCTAATGCAGTGAAATGCACAAGAGTATTTCATGCTGGGAATAGATTCTTATGACCAGATCTGAACATCTGCAATCGAAAAACCTTACCCCAGGCTGCATATTAAAAGCAGAGAGTCTTTGCTCTAGGTTGTTACTCTCTTTTTCAGCCAACTCTGTCTTTGGGGACTGCTTGCTCCACGTGGTGTATTCTGGACAATGAATCCTCACTGTTTTGCATGAACAATAGTAGCTTTAGTAGTCTCTTTAAAATGTAGGTGTTGGACCACTCATCCAAAGGCCTCCTAATTGTTGGGTAAAGACAGTCTGTCGCACAAAATGGTAAATAACCACTTTGCCAGCAGGAAAAGACAGGACACTTGCCCTTACATTCATACTTCATGGCATGTGTATTCACAAACACTTTTTTTTTTTTTTTTTTTTTTGCTTACAATAGAACAACTTTTCTTTTCTTCCAGTTTGGAAAAGTTCCATCTTCTTTGTCAAGTCCATGACCACCCTACCCAACTGGGCTTCTTCAGACACTATCCTATAAGGATCTGTACTCGACAGGAGTAAGGCTCAACAGCAGCCACAGCTCCTGGTCATCTCTGTCCTCTTCATGCTTGATGAGAAAAGGATTGTGGGCCCATCTGTTCATGAAAGTGACATTCTGCTGCAATCTGAGGATAGGCAGAATAGAAGAAGTAAAGAACCGTACAAAGAGACTAAAGGTAGCAGATTAGTTTCTGACAGTTCATTGAAAAATGGCTGAATAATAACTGGAGAATTTCCAAGATACTTAAAAATTATGATGGAAGGGGAAAAATTAACTCCAGGCATGTACTGCAAAAAAGTTTCCTGAGGTAATGTGTCAGCTTGATTGAGAACTGTTTCAATACTACAAAGGATTTCAATTTTATGCTGCTTTGCTTAAAAAATATCCACCTATATACAATAATTTAAAAGCCTGTACTAACGTTCCTGTAGTATGTAGTCCGGTTCAAAAAGTGTCATGTACATCAGTGTTCCAGTCTATAAAATGTTAACAGTGCAGCACTTGTAATTCAAATACAATCTCTATCACTGTAATGGGGACCCCTCTGTTTCAGATATTATCTTGATGTTGTTCTTCTGTAATACTAATCCAGAGAGCATCAGAAGACTCTTCTCATCTCACATGTGTTCTTAATGGAGGATTTTTGGAGGGATCTGTAAATAGATAGGAGAGGTTTAATCAGAGGAAATAGATACATTTTTGGGGTATGTATTTTGGATGCAGTTCTACAGCATTTATCTCCTACCCTTGAACTGATACACATACATATACATATATTGCTCTTGCTCTGTAGCCCTTCAGTAAAAAGTCTCTGATAAAGTCATACAGCAGACAATTTGGACAGAGAGAGGCTACTATGAAAAGTCATGCAAAGTACCTTGACATGGAAACAAAAAAACCCTGAACTTAAATAGTTGGAACTAATAATACAGAAAAGACAGGGGCTTATAAAAAGCAGGATATGGACATGAGATCTTTCAGCACCTTTAACTACCAAATTTCAAAGCTGGATAGGTGAACTTATGCTCTTACCACAATGACCTGATACCCAGTTTTTAAGTTAAGGAGGGAAGCAGGTTCAGTCATTCATTACTTTCCTGACAAGGCTCAGGTACTAAGACCATTTGTTACTCAGGTATATAAAACACCATGTGTAGGATTTAACTCAAAACACATGATGGAAGACACTGATCAAGTCACCTTTCTTTTGTGATTTTACAAGTTCATGAACAAAAAAGCCCAACTCAGTAGCTGCCTAAGTCTGCTTGCGTGACACCACTGTTTTTAACATTAAGGGCTCTGCAAATTGAACACTCCATGGAAAACAGCCTGCATGCCAAGCCACATCATTTTATTTTTAGCTACTAAGACTTTAATTAATTAAGTGCTTTTCATTATACCTTTGGTCCCCATTACCACTGTAACATCCCATTCCTCTCTGTTCCTATGCTAGCAGCCCAGTTCTTCACGTTAATGCTGCTTTACTCCCTGCTTTTAATCCTATTGGATAATTATAAGATCTTCTCATGTTTATACACTTACCTTTAGCTATCTTGCTGGGGTAGATTTTCTGAAATGGCTTGAATTCGTCAGGTGGGGGGAAATCTTCCACAGAATGGAAAGTAAATTTAGATTCAAAGTCATCTGGGAAGTTTCAGAGAAATAAACATCAGTAACTGTTAGAGAGATACTTTATAATAATGCCACAAGACATTTCAGTTTAAAATGCTGACTCGTTTTCCCCTGGAATTGATAGTGGCTCATTCTGTATAACCAATCTTGGTGAATACTTCTGTGACCCATCCCAGTTTTCTGGCTTAACTGCAAACACTGCCTGCTACTAACTGAAGTTAAGCTTCTGGGTGCCGTTCCAGTTTCCTGCATTGATGATATTGTGGTAACAGAGGTTATTTCTAGGTGGTTTTCAAGCCATTTAGCTATGAATGAATGGCCAATTCATCAGACCACAAAAATAATTCTTAGCAGTCTTTGCTTTATAGGATTGAAGCTACAAAATATCCACAAACTGGTTTTAAGAATAGTAATACAAGGACACTATGGCAACTTTTCACAATCTTAAATAATTCTGCAGGTAGCTCATGCTTTTGTTGTCTACTTGATGATTCAAAGCCTTCGTGAAAAGTCTTCATTTTCTCTCATTATATAAGGTCGTACAAAAATGTTTCTAATGATTCTGGTTGTAACTACCCTGTTATTGCTGTGAGAAGGTCTTGACTGACTTTTTGAGGTCTGAGACACGCAGGCTTTTGTACTAAAATTATTAACTAAGGCTAAGAGATCCGATTTAGAGGATATTACCGATGATGTGCATGTTCCCATTTTTAAGTGGTGGGTAGGGGTCGTGAGCTGCAGCCCAGGCTGAGACCCCAGACTTGCTCGTAAGCTCGGTTGTAGGTGATCTTGCAGGGGGCTGTGGAGGTGTGACTAGCTTCCCAGCACCAGTTCCTGAAAAAGCAGCAGCAGACCAGCACATAAACATCATCATGACTTAACAAGCTGAGAATAAGCTTTGCAGAAGAGGGAGGGAAGCATAGAAGGAGTGCAATATGGGGGGCAAACGTACTCAGCTTCATAGCTGCTGTTTGTCAAGCCTGACTGTATATTTAGAGCATTAAGTATTAAATTTAAGTCACTGTGCTAGTACTAGTTCTAAAGAAAGTCCAACATTCTGAAGTATGGTTTTGTCCCTGTCTGGAGGGGAAGACTATCATTCCACTTTCACAAGAACAAGCGGTTTCTTTAACGAAAAATACCCAAAACCAAACCAAACCCAACCATGCTGGATGGTATCTCTAAAAGAAAACAATTTCCTGACACCCTGGCAGCTATGCAGCAGTATTACCATTATTCTTGTGCATTTCACTGAGGAGCTGCAGGAGCCATCAAAGTTTGTATCTTCTGGGCACACCTGCCGCAGGCACTGTGTAAGGGGGAAGGAGCCCAAGGCCTCTCCAAACTGCTGCTCCCCCTGGATAGCCAGGAGACAGGCAGGCTAATCTGATGGAAACCTTGAAAGTCGAACCACCACGTGGTACAGATAGCTCAATAACATAACTCTTCATCAGACAGTTCCTGAGCAGCATTAATCCTCATCACAAGGCCTGACCAGCACATGGCCTTTCCCGTGGCTGTCAAAGGGAACCAGTAATCTTTCTGTGGATGTGTGGCTGCTGAAGTACAGGGTACAGAACATTCTGCTCAGATGTGCCTTATTAAGGAGCTGTCTCCATTTCTCAAACCCACACAGATCTAGCCTCATTTTTTTTTAAATTATCTTCATTATATTAGAGAAGTCTGATAAATGTCCTCCATCTGCTCAAGGACACACTAGCTCATATCCCTGCTTCCCAAGTAGTCTGAGAAACCGTTGGCCCCGCTGTCTTCATCACGGGAGGCACTGGCTGCTCCTCTACTTAAAAGCAGAGGACTGCACCCGTACTGCCTTTGCTCACCTATGGCTGGAGCTGCCCCATGTATGTTTTATTCTCTCCTGTAACATTTCCCAGGCGCTGCCAATATTGCTCCATACTGCAGGGGCACAGCAATAGAGGGATGCTGTGGCTAGGCTGGTGCTTGAGCAGCTGCAGGGGGGGCAGACACGGTGGTGTACACTCCACTGCCCTACCTGAGAGTATTAGGAGACTGTTGGGAGATTGCTGGAGATGCACCAATGCCAACACAAAGGCAAGAAGCAGCCCAGCAGTCCTAAAACGTTGCTTTCACCTATCGGCGTGTTGCTTCCAAGACTCACAGGTTAAACTATACAGCACGCGTACCCAGGGCCAAGAAGAGCCTGATGTCTCGCATGTGCGCCGTGCAACCTACACGTGTTCC